GGTGGGGGGGGGGGGGGACGTCAAAATTGAACTTCTTCTTGGCGCGTAAGACAGCTTAGTTCATTACACGAGACCATTGTGTAAGACTTACTAAGAGTGTTGCCAACTTGAAACTTTCAGTTTGAGAGTTAGCCTCCGCTAGTCTTCATTTAATCATTAATGTGTGCCTCGATTCAGTCCTTTCATAATCGCTTTTTTTTTTTATTAAAATATTTTAAAATGAATTAATTGTATTTTTTTTAAAAAGAGTTCATCATCATCATGTCCCTTAGTGCAGTGGTTCCCAAACGTTTAAATTTGGTGGACCGGTGAACAAGTTTCGAAATTTTACCAGGGACCGGTGCATTATTTATTTTTATACTTTTATTTCTATTTGACAATAAATATTTATGTTATGGGGACCGTCAGCGTTAGGCATGCGGACAGGTGAAGGTCCACGGACCGCCATTTGGGACCACTGCCTTAGTGAACTTAGTCCTTCGACCGTTGGGGCGCCACAGATGACATGAAAACTATCCTCCACTTAAATCTATACAATTTTTAAAATTAGCACAGCATGTGTGTGTATGTGTGGCAGGAGAGTCATCGCGTGGGCCCCGCAGCAACCGCCGCGACTTGTAGGGGCCTCGGATATTTAAGGGGCCCAAAGTTGTAAAGTTGTTAGGTGGGGGGAAAAAACTATCAACTTTTGAACGCAGGAGACGCAAAACCGAAAAGTGACCGGGGGGGGGGGGCGCGCTCCAAAGTCACGTGGCCTGGTGACACGTGCAAGTCATGTGCGATAAACTTAAAAGATGTGAAATAATCAATAAATCTTAAGCAAGATAAGAATAACTCATTTACGTAGGCTACATATGTTAATTATGCGTTACGACATGCGACCTGGGAAACTTTCGGACCCATCCTGCCCCTTACCTCTCCCCTACTCAGTACTATTATTACGTAGCCATGAGTATTCTGAGCCTGGGTTCAAGGCCTCTCCGTCAACGGTTCACACTCCCCCACTTGAAGATTATTTAAATTTAAAGTTAAGTAAGACTAGAAACTCAAACACATTTAATTTGTTATTGCACCGACCGGTATTTGAAAAAAAGTACCGGTAGTGCAAAGATGCAAATTATTGTCTTTTGGGGGGGGTGGGGTGGGTAGAGTACCCAGTACCGGTATTACTTCTTCTTTATTTTGACTTTGAGGGCCCACGATCAATGAATTGATCATTCTGGCTCCGATGTTACTTAATAGTTTATGATTATGATGTGTAAATTAATTAACTTTTATTAATTTAATGGTCCATTTGATATCGTGATACCGAGACCAGCCCTTAAGTATAAATTGTTTCTGTTAGACCCCAATGACACAGGGACGAAACAAGTGTTACGGTAACTCAATGTAAATAATATAGTTCACCGGTACAGTTCTTAAAAATCCAAGAGAAGCAATCAATATTTAAAATATATAAAATAAATAAGTGAAATGATAGTCTCCCTTGACACATAGCAACTTTAGCATCAAAAGCGGGTCACATGAATTTTTCCAAATTGTATAATTCGGATGCATAACTCGTAATTGTAAGTTCCACTGCTGTAAATCAATAGAAAAAATCCAGGTTATGACGTCAGAGGGAACTAGATACTTTTTTTTTTTTTTAAATTAAAAACGGCCCACACATCACGTATTTTTTAATTACCAGTACTTAACAAATACTGTCACTAAATTAGCACCACCATATTTAATTTGTGTGTGCACATACCAGAAGTTGGGTACCAGTATTTCAATTTCATCATTCTACGCAAGAGCTCAATGGAAGATATGTTAGCAGTGAGGAATGAGGTGCAAATTGTTATTACTTAACAAGTACCTAATTGCAATAAGTGGATTTTTTAAAGAAAAAAAAAGATATCCTGTCACTACCACTACTCCTCTAAGAGGAACTGTTAAAAAGATATTCTTCAGTAAGCCACTTCTGGAAAAATGGTGACTACCTCTGCAACCCACATTGGCTAAATACTTTTAATTTATTGGAAAGGGTACTGTACTTTAAAAGGGTGTGCACAATAGTCTAGCTGGTCTTCCCTACCCTGCACACTTGACAATGCTTATTATAGTATAGGGAATTACCCCAGTACTCCACAAAATTGGTTTTCTGTCTGTCAAGTTATAACAGTAGCAAAAGAAGCCCTATGAATATGAAATCAAACACTTTTCAATGGCATTCCAACAACATGTTCCCAACCAACCCCTGTAAGCACCAAAAAATAAGTTGTAAACTAAATTACCTTCATTGGCATAAATCTTTAAAGTTACTCCAAAACATGAATTTAAAGAAATGGTTTACTTTTTCACACCCAAGAAAGTACAACAAAACAAAAAAAACTACATCAGTAAATTAGTCTATTTTTAATCAGTATGCAATTTATTTTGTCTTCTTGGACTTCATTTTCCTAGAGTAAAACTCCAGCTCTTTGCCTTCCAACACATAGCCATCCACTCTACCACACTGACCCGGCCTTGAAGAAATTTTAGCTGCAGAAAAAAGAAAAAAAAGGTAAGCTTAAAAAAAAAAAATTGCCAACAAGAATGCAATATCAACTATACAAAAATTTGTTTAAAACAAATCTGGAGATGAAATAAAAGGTGGTCAGAGTAACTATGACTAGTAAAAGCCTCAAAATGGAAAAGCATACACTGAAAAATACAGCCATTGCCTCCTTAGGAAGAGAATTTTCATCATTCCACCACTTTATTTTGCAATCCTTGTATATTTTGTGTAACAGAATATGATACAGATTATGTGAATGTAACATTCAACCCTCACTGTCCCAATCTGGCCAGCTGAGACATAGTCTAGTTATTCATAAGGCTGAACTTTTGAAAAGAAATGAGAAAAATCAAGCATGAGGCCCACCTACTGAATATTAGTTACAAAATGCAGACATATGCACCCTCAAAATCTTCAATATAGAATTAACAAAAAATGCAGTATATAATAATGTATACCCGGTACAATGATTGAGCAGGCGTCACTGAAGGTAAAAAGTAGACTGTAGTGTCAATCCTTTTCACCCAGCCCTTTCGTAAAAAGCTGTTTATGTTTGAAAATGTTCTGGTTCGTTATAAATTAGGCTAACAGGTGATTTCTAGAATTTTTTTACTGTAATGTTTCCAACTTTCCCACATTAATTAAGGCTGCAGCAGAGAGAATTTTACTACATATCCTAGACAATAGACATAATATACATACAAGATTGTACTGTGTGTGTAATTTACTATTTGTATCTTTCAAAGATTTTTCTTTTGCTCTTGCTGTAATATAGATTATATTTCTGTGTATTTCATTTCTTATTGTCTAACAGCATAATTGATCTTGATAATATATCTAGCTTTGGTATTGTTTTTTTTCTTAACTGTTCAGTTCTGAGTTACTTTTAAAAAAAAAACGAGCCAAATCTTAAGGCAGATTAAACTTACAATTCCATCTGAATATAATGGTATACAACAATGCCAAAAACAGTAATTGTCCCAATCAATGAAACACAAAATGATAGGAAAATTATTATTATGTACTGAAATCATATATTCTTCATGCACAGTACATGAAAACTGAAAAGGGGCTTAACAATAATGTACAACAATGATTAACACCACCAAGTCATGAAAAAATGCTAAATTCATGGTGGTGGTCAGAGTAACTATGACTAGGAATCTCTCAATATGGAGAGAGACTGAAGAATACAGCACTACTCTCCTTCAAGTTTCAACCATCATCATTCCACCAAAAGCTAGGAAGTTAAATCCTACTGGCATACCCATTGCATTAACAAGTTTTTAAAAACAAGGCACTGTATATCTCGAAACACTTCGATGCTAACTGATTAAAAACATGTGTCCATAAAATTGTATTAAGAACAAGAACTTCCATGTATCCTGGCAATACCGGTAATTGCTAAAATTGCTTAAAGGGAAAGTACATTTTTTGTCACATGTACGTTTTATTTTTAATGGCTCCAGTAAAATTTGGAAAATGTTACTTAAAAGCGTATGCACATTGAGTTATAGCAACAATCTCAACATAGATAAAGATCTTACCATAAACTCGACCAGTAGAAAACTGTTCATCCAAACCAGGTTCTACTTTTGCAATCTTCTTTCTGGCTTCATATTTCTTCTGAGTTTTCTTAGAACGAACCTTGTTCAAAACAGCTTCTTCTTCATCAGACTACAGAAAAGGTATACAAAAAATTATAGTTAACTTGGGAATTTAGAATCACCCATAAAGTTATGATAACACACGCGTAAACAAAAATACAAATAAATATACAAATATACATACCAATTTAACTCCCTTCTTGCGACCTAGAGCTGTGGCATAGTGAGCTTCATACCACTGACGGAAGGGGGTTGAATCAATTTGGACAATGCAACTTTTAACAAGAGTCTTAGTACGCACAAATTCATTGTTTGAAGCATTGTAAACAACATCAATGATACGGGTCTTGCGAGTTACAGCTGTGGAAATAAAGATTCTATTAAAAAATACAAAAATTATTTTTTTTAAATAGAGCAACACAAGGAAGCAAAGAGCTCTGAGACAAAAGGAACTTTAATTAGAAAATTCCAGAGGAAGCAGATACCGTATAGCATTATCAAAAGGACATGAAGCTACCAGGGCAAAACAGCTGCATGTACTACAATCACAAAGAGAAACAGTGAACACTTGGAAAATTTGTGTGTGGCCAAAGAGAACACTAATTTAAGACCCATTACCAGAAAACAGAATCTCTACAGAGATGCTGAAGGGATATGTCCTGAAAATTACACACAACCTGCAACAGCTACTGCACATTTTTGGGACAGAAATCACCACTAACAGGAAGACCTAAATAAAAGGATCTTTACCTTATTGCAAAATGGTGAGGCAACCCACTCCAGAAAACTCTTAGGTTAACAAATGAAATGTTTAAAACAAACATAGGAACAGGAAGGCTTGTCGATGCCTTGCCTTGATCATACCTTTGCATACCAAAGACAATTCCTTTAGTACACTAAGGCCTACACATAAGTGATATTAGAAGATTCTCTAACACTATGGTTTTCCCTAAAATGGTATGCTGGGAAGCATATCAGGAAAGTGAGAGGAAAAGTAATAAGAATGAGGAGACGTTAAATTATGATTATAAATAATACATAATTTAATTGTCTTGTTAACATTTAGCTTTTCATACGATTTTGGCGTACAATTTTGAGGTGTAAACATATATACTGTATGTTTATTTTTTTACTATAAATATAAGGTATTTAACGATTTTGTGATGATATTGTACGATTTTAAGAGTTTGAGGGTAGACAGGGCTGAAGTCGCACAATTTAATGTTCTTTCTAAGCTCTATATTCTTTTTGAGCAGTTGTCTCTTTCACCTATGAGCAGATTAAAACTAAAAGAATGGAGAGAACTTTAAAATTATTAAAACCTTTATATAGAAAATAAATTAGAAGATACACAACGAAAAGAATTTAAAATCAAAAGATAAAAACTTTAAAATTTAGTATTGGGTACAATATACCTTCACTGCCCCAAGAAAAGTTGCCGTGATCCTGTCGCAAGGCTCTGTACTTTTTGTTACCACCCATGGTACGTACTGTATGAATCCTCTTTGCTCCAAGCTGGGAATTTTTTTAAAACAATTTTTAGGATAATTGTCAAGGAATGTAGGTTAATATGTAAAAATTGCACATAAAAAAATGGAAAATACACTTTGTTGAATTCCGTGAAACATTCTTTTACCTTGGTTTGGGCTGGTGGGCGACCAAGCTCGAACTTTCGCTTCTTTCTTAAGGCAGCCATACGGCCACCAGTGGCCCTGCGCTTGTGCCATTTATCTCTGGAGATACCTGTTCGTTGAGAAAAAAATTAAGCTAATATTAGAGTTTGGCTTAAATAAACACTAATTTGCCATGGACTAATGGTTTGACGGGCCAATTTTTGCTTTACTTTCATCAATGGTACTTGGTGTATACTTATTTTTCATTTGCAGTACAATGACAATAATATGTCACTCAAACTACTCAAAGGACAGTGAAAGAATGGTATTCAATGTGATATGGATATACTGCCAATTGAGTTTTCCCCTGGTACAACTCAACATAAAAATAGCCGTGAATGAGTAATATCAGTTTAGGGTCCAAGTTTAGTATAGGCACCATACACCATAATAACCATAGGTTAAACTTTGACTTTCCTCTCAGGACTTGGTAGGCCTTCTTATTGAAATTACTTTGTGATCATACTACGCTATTTCATTGAGCATGTACAAATGGGACAAGGATTAAATCTGTTGTCTTTTTTTTTTCAGTTACTAGTACTAGTAGTGGTCCTAACTAACTAAATTTATAAATGCTAAATCAGTAACCAAAACAAATCAACATCAGTAGTCAGTTTTATCAGATCAGTCCTGTGAAACTTGTCAACAAATTTTATAAACAAACATTGGTCTGAAAGTCTTTATTTCGATAATACTAATATTTAAAGTGATATATTTAAAATAATTCAACGTAAGGCACTAGTTAATATTATATAAGATAACTTTTCAAGCATACTTCCAATGTTTTTATGTAACGATTATCCTTGTTTTCGTGCTCTACTTCCATTGTCGAAATCTTGAAGCGTATGTAATCCGAATTAAATATAAAACACTTTTCATTTTAAAAAATAAATTAATATGAGAATATGTGCAATGTACATCTAAAAAGCCAAAATTTAAGAGAGATGCGATGAGATTCAATATAGCTGTTAAACTTTACTACTTACCCATGATGGCGTATAATAGGGAAAAGGAAGAACCGGAGACGGATATGGATATTCCTGGACAAAATATTGTGCCTCAAAGTTTGCAAATCAATAATCTTGTGATTTATTATAATCTAATGAATTTAATTTTTCAAAAATATATATTTATAATTTATTTTAAAACTAATTTAATTTTAATTTAAATTATTTGTACTAAATATAAATTGTAATAACTTAAAGCAATATTTCTAGATATTTTATTTTCCTTTTTAAAGTGTTCCAACCTGGCAAATTGATTAAAAAAAAGTATAAGTATATGAGATGACACTGATTCAGTTAATTTACTTAAGTTTAATAAAGAAGTATGTTAATTGAAAGCGTAATACTAAAGACAAAATACTTAGTTTTTAAATAAATAATAGTAACGCATATAGCTTAATATAATCATTGTTGGCAATTAAAATATCTATATAATATAGTTATGGGAAGCGTTATTCACACAGCTCTGTGAATAACGTTTAGCGTTATCGGCAGACCGAAATCTGTGAATAACGGCGAGCGTTATCCACACAGCTCTGTGAATAATGTTTAGCGTTATCGGCAGACCGAAATCTGCGAATAATATCTGTATACCGGTAGTATAATAGTAATAGCCTATTACTATACTAAATATTATGCAGTATAAAGTATATACACAATTGTAGTATAAGTAATATACTTAGTTACTTAGCTTAATCAGTATACGCATACATGGGCGCCCGCAGAAAACTTTCGGGGGGGGGGGATCGATTAACTTTCTGGGGGGGGGGGG